GAACAAAGACAATTGACTCAATCAAAACCAAAACTCATATAACATTTGCATGTTTAACTAAAAAAAAATGAGTATTTTTGGATTTCTGTTAGTTTTTCAGGCAAAGAAACAATAATAATAATAATCTAAATTAAAAATTATACGGAAACATGAGGGTTTCTGAAACTCCCATGTTTACTGTATTGCCTCCGATATAGTTAGTTCATTCTTACATTAATTACTTTACTAGAAAAAATCTAATGCGACAAAGATATAACAAACATTATTTTTGTACACTGCACAATATCCATTTTCAGCACTTTTCTTCTGTTTCTTTTGTTTTTCATAACTTTAGGTAAGTGATTACTGTTTTATTTTATAAAAGATCTTTTCAATTAAGTTTCAGAGTATTGCATTGCTAGTACAATAATTGTGCATGATCGTTTTTTAATAATTTTTAACCATAGACTGCTACCTACTAATTGGGCACAAAAGAAAATTTTAAAAAATCTTAAATTCTAAGCTTGTTTTTGAAAATAATTGTGTATAATTATATATTTTTTGAAAACACACAATAAGCCTAACAAATGTATAAAGTAATATACAGGGTGTTTCCATTTAAAAAACATATGCTTGCATCATAATTAAAAAACGAAGAATATGTTTTAACTTCTTCGATAAATTTATGCAGAACTGAGATGCAAGGGAGTGTCTCAAAAGTGATACTTTTCAATTCCATCATATATCTCAAATGCTGGTGCCATTATTAATTCCATAGCTATCGCTTTTTTTTGTTTTCGTGGAAAAGGGGAAATCTTCAAAAGACACCCAGCCAACTGTACGACTGGGTAGTGTGGGATTCCCGAGGAAGAAGTCCTCGAACCTACCGACTAAAACCCCTCTACCTCAGGCCGTTATAGGATCATTAAGGTCCTCTTCAGTCACAGCTATCGCGAAAACCGCAACCTTATATCTTTAATAATGAGGGAGATACCCCGTAAAAGTGCCAAAAATGGGATACCCTGTACAATTTAATAACACTGATTGTTCTTGACTTAAAAATTTATAGTGTGTAAAATGCATAAAATCGGTAATAATGAAAATATTAAACTTCCATAGTGTTTTACTTCTTTTATTTTTAAAAACAAAAGGAATCTTGATAATGAAGGAGATGCTTCATGGGACGGCGTGGAAGTTAGACTTATTAAACTGATTGGAACAATTTTCAACTTTACTACAGATTTTCGCGAAGCAAATGAGATCAACACTTTGGGGTAGGTGACGTTTACAACCAAGTATGTTAAGCAAAAATTTAATTATGTTTTGGTTATTATTAGACAATCCGAAGCAGTTATCAAACAAATTATACAGAGAAAAGCTAATCTTGGTATCGGCGGCATTTATGTAACTGACGAAACAATTTCTAAGGTTGAAATGTCTCAACCGTATACTCAAGATTGTGCCGCCTTTATATCCCTTACTTCTACTGCTATGCCACGGTAAGACTGTTTACATATTACTAGCTGTACCCTGTGCGCGTTGCTACGCCACCAACTAAAATAAATTTGAAGGAAAGACATTACACCAATATTCAATTCATTTTGAGTCATTTTATTGATTTTGTTCATTTGGAAAAAATTGTGACATTGCAGCGTTTCGTTTCAATTCGATATTTATTGAAGTGGTGTGGGATACACAATATTTCTTGTTTTTCCTGTCGAAAATTGGTCGTACCACTCAGAAACCTTCTTTGGCTCATGTACAACAACTTTGCTAAAGATCATCGCGTGACCAAATGCATATTTTACGATTTCATAAAGGATATACAGACAAACATTCATTTCTATATATTTAGATAAACGATTTTTATAAAATATAATACATGTGTGTTATAAATATACTTTAAATGCACGTAATTTATGTTTGCTATTGTATATCTCGAATAACAACACGTGCGGGGTGCAGGACATCTTATTTCATTTTGTTGATCAGTGATTTCCAACGTTGTTTAGCCCGCGTGCCCCAGTTATATTGTTTTTAATTTTCCTTTCTCTATACTGCTTCTACTCTACCTTTGCTTTTTGATTCGTTACTAAATAGTTGATAATCGAACAATTCAAAATAAACTTTCAAAGAATAAAATAGTTTATTTTTTTAAAAGATGGCGAGCTATTATGGGCCCTTTCCACTGGACTGTATGGTTAATTCTTACCCTTGTTTATCTTCTTGCAATTTTTCCGTTATCCTTCTCCGATAGACATTCCCTGAAATACCTCTTCAGAACTCCTGAAGAAATGGAAAATATGTTCTGGTATGTGTTTGGGACATTTACAAATTGCTTTACGTTTAAAGGGAAGAGATCATGGACCCAATCTCACAAATATGCTACCAGGATTTTAATAGGTTCGTAATCTGAATTAATTTGAATTAATTGTTATTGTTTTGGATGAGGACCTGTTATTAATATTTACAAGGTTTCTACTGGATTTTCACCATTATAATAACTTCTTGTTATACCGGCTCCATTATTGCATTCGTTACTTTACCTACAATTCCTGAAACAACAGATACAGCGCAGCAGTTTTTATCAGGTCATTACCAAATTGGAACACTGGGTAAGTTTAATTTTACAGAATCATATCTCACGCATTTCGCTACTGTATACGAATAAGTGAACTACACTCTACTTTACTACATTGTTCTGCGCACTCGAGGCTTTTCCGTCTTTCCAAAAGTTTTTTAAAACTTCAGTTTCAATGGAACAGGACTAGGAAGTCCTTTAATAGTCAATGTCAAGTTAACCGAACTTTGTAGACAAACAGTTACGCCGTAGATTTGAGTTCATCATCATCATAAGGTCGTCAGTCCTAAGACTGGTTGGACACGCACCTCCACTCGTACCCTTCCAGTAGTATAGCTATAGGGATTCTGTGACACTTCGATGGCCTGTCCATCCTCAGTTCCTTACCATGACCTCTAAGACACCTTGAAGGTCATTCTTCAGCTGAAGAAATTCTTAAGTTAATCTTCGCATTTCCCTAAAACTAGAACAACCCATATCCTTAACTTTTTGCGAACAGTAATCTAATATGGATCTACTTCTACTACTCCTAATTCCTGTTTCTGCCTCTAATATGTCTCTAACTAGACCTTCATGCTTGAGAAGGTGTTATTTCAACCTATCTCGCCTATTTTTTATTGACTTCCATAGAGTCCTCTGTTCTCCTATTCTTTCTAATACCGCTTTATTTCTAGCCTTCTCTATTGACGGTATCCTCATCATTCGCCTATACCCCAATATTTTAGTTAACAAGTCGATATTCTTAATTAGTAGAAGTCACAACTAAATATATTTTAAAGGAAATTGATATCTACAATTTTCAGTTTCTCTATATTTCAATTTTTCTGAACCACTATGCACAATATTTATACATTTTTAATTTTGTGGCGGTATGTTCATGTAATAAGCTAACTTCTATTGTTCTAATTTATAGATAAAGGCGGCTGGCAACATTGGTTTAACGACACAACTGACCCAGTAACTCAGAAACTGTTGAAGAACCTGGATTTGGTTCCAACTGTTGAAGATGGATTGAAAAATACCACTAAAGCCTTTTTCTGGCCTTACGCTTTTCTGGGTTCCAAGGCACAATTAAACTATATTGTCAGAACATCCTTTACAACTAAGTAATTATATAGTTTTTCAAAAATCACTTCTACTTTTTGTTATCCACAATTGTCAAAACAACGAACAGTAAAATCTTCGTTTCGATGCTCTTTAAATGTTCAGATTCTATAAATTTTTAATTTTAATTTAATTCAGCACTTCTGCTTCTGAAACTAACATTTAAAAATAGAATTTAAGTTTTTGTACATTTAAAATTTCAACATTTTATGGGAAACCATTTAACATAGACCAACTCCAGGAAAAATACCCGAAATTAAGAGACAAAAAAGAATAAGGCGTATTAATATTGTTTTGTGTTATCAAGTTTAATTCAGAAAAAAATCTCTAATACTTCTTAATGCTAGTATACCACCGTAACGGTATCATCAAATGGGAGTAATGAGAGTCACAAACATCTTGCGTATTGTGCATTCCTGAATAATGTTTGATTTAAGTATCCTTTAACAAAAAAAAAGAATATTTAAGAAGTGTTTTACGTTAATCAATAAATACACTTATGTAATACTGTAATGTGTAGCTATAGCTTATTTTAATTTTATTACATTGTTCAAGGAATAAGAGGGCACTTCTCCATATAGCAAAGGAATGTTTCGTACCTTTCGGAGTTAGCATTATATTCAATAAAAATGAAAATTATAGGGAAATTGTGAATAAAGGCTTATTGCGAGCTGTAGAGAGTGGTTTTCTGGTAAAATTTACTCATGACGTGGAATGGGATATGATCAGGAGTTCAACGGGAAGATTATTACAGGTAACTAATGAACTGAGTAAGTGCAAGCACATACGCAAGGGGGGACAGGAGACTACCCATCTTCCTCCTCCTTCTATGTTATCGTTTAGAAAAAGCATGCTATTTCTTTAGGTTCGGTTTACCTATCCAATTTCTGCTACAATTACCAATCTCAATGTACATTTTTTGAATTAATTATTGATAGTTGCTTTTAATTACCGTTTACAATTTCTGAGATATGACGCTTTGCGTTTTAGGCAAATTCCGGCGGCTCTTTGAAGATACTAATAGAGGACAGAGCACTCACGTTGAAAGACACGGAAGGAATGTTTTTGTTACTGGGATTTGGAATTATTTTGGGAGGAATCTCTCTTCTCACGGAGTGGTTGGGGGGATGTTTTAATCTTTGTAGAAGGAGACGTTTGTCGACAAGCTCTTTATCTAGTAACCCGTTTTCTTTTGATGATTTAACCCCTAGAGAAAAAATTGATTCTATAGCTTCTTTACATTATCGTGAAGAAAATTTGACAGATAAAAAACATGAGAAGCTGAATACCGAAGAAATGGAAGATAAAATAACAGATTACGATATAAAAGAGTGCTTCGATAAAATTTTGAATTTTTCTGAAAAACTTGATGGATTTAATGATAAAGAAAAGTCCAATGAAGAGGGAAGCAAATGTGACACGAAAGTGATTAAAATAGGGATCAAATAACGTTGAATCTTACCTTAAGTGAATGACCAATGTAAGCGGTATACACATTTAGAATTAAGTATTGAAAAATATCACTCAGCACGGCATACAGACTAATAAATAATATCTCTAACTGAAACAATTGTTGCACCTATTGAGGTAATCTTCACCATGATGTAAACGAGCACTTAATGATTATGGCAAGAAAATAAAATATTTAGATAGCTTTTTGAAAACTTACGTAGATATCGAGGTTGAATAAATAATACGTTACAACGTGTTGCATACTTTGCCTGGCTAGTATTTTGTACAGACAAGACATTTTGAATAAAGAACTGACAGTTTGATGATTATGCGATGTAATGCACGCTTATAAGTCAGTATCATTTCGAATAAATCATTACTTTTAATGTTACTTAGGCATCTCTAAAAGCAGTGCTAATTTCAAAAGGGACTAATTAACGGTTACGTGGATTACAATGCAGTGAGTGGTTACATTGTGAGATTATATATTATTTTCTCTCACGATTTAGTGTTAGGATAGTTCGGACGAGTTGAGAATAGCACAATTCTATTTCATACTAAATACTTTAATGAGATCAGTACCTATATAGTTATTGATCATGCGTCGTCTAGCAACGTTCAGGTGAAAAATGAAATCTCTTAAGTAATTATTAAAAAGTAGGTTAAAACTGAGAAAGGACACATCTGTAATTCAATTCACTGACAACTAATGAAGGAATTACTTTTTGCAATGAAAATCTACAGTTAGATACTTATTATTGTCACTAGAGTGTAGATTTCTACCATAGTTTAAAGTTGTTTAACCCAAGAGGGTTATTCCCGAGCGGCATGGCCTAGAGGTTTAGACCATTGCTTAGCATTCGGAAGGACGCCGGTTCGATTCCGGGTCCGTCTGCCTTGGTCCAAGTTTTTCTGTGGTTTCCTTGGATCACTTAGGCTGAGGCAGTAATATTCCACAGATAATCTTTCATTCTCTTCTGTCTTCATTTCGTCCGTCTCATCTTTCCCACCCGAACCACCACCTACCCATTCCCACGATTCCTGAAAGTAGGCTGAAGTGGGCTTTCCGTCCTACCTTTCGGCGTAGTCCGGAGGGACTGCCCGCCCACCAGCATGACTGGCTGGTGGGAATGAAACACCCAAAAGTTTTTTTTAAGAGGGTTATTTCCGTACAATCCAACGGTACAATCCACTTCTTGTAGGTACTAGTAACGATTCCCGAACTTCACGTGTTTCTTCATCTCTTCTCCTCGCAGGCCACTCGACCGTTTCGCTGATTAAATTATTCTCCCTGAGTGTGTTACACTGTTACTCTCTTACTAATTTAGTTGATAGTTGATTTTTAGGTCAGTTTAACATACCTTACGAAAAGGAGAAAGCAGGTGTTTTGGTAAACCTTTCGATCGCGACCTCGATGTTCTACGATACATAGTGGAAGCACCGGGCAGTGATTATTTTGCTTAATACGATTTGATTTTGTCATATAAATTTAGTTTGGAAATGAAACAAATTTTTAAAAAATTGATAAGTTAGTGGCATTACTCCCACACTTTGTTTTGTAATTAAAAATACATGTATGTGTAGGGGGTAATGTAGAGCGTTAGAATATGTGACACTACCTCGTCCAATCTTGTCGCATAGCCCTGGCAGGACGCACAAAGGGAATGTTGATTGTTCAGGGTTGTGTCTTAAATAAGGTATCAAATTAAGGGTCTTCATATCTTTTATCCGAAAAAGCGAATCTGCTTCGTGATAACATATCTGAAAGGGTGATAGGGCAGATAACTGGGACGCGCTCCTATGGTCATAAACTTTAAAACTTTTGGGTGTTTCATTACCACCAGCCAGTAATGTTGGTGAACGGCCAGTTCCTCCGGACTACGCCGGAAGATAGAGAATCGTGGGAATGGGTAAGTGGTAGTTCAGGTGAGAAAGATGAGACGGACGAAATGAAGACAGAAGAGAATGAAACATAATCTGTGGAATATTACTGCCACAGCATTTGCCTATGTGATCCAAGGACCCGGAATCGAACCGGCGTCCTCCCGAATGCTAAGCAATGGTCTAAACCTCTAGGCCATGCCGCTCGGTTTCTCCTTGGCTGTTTATATACTAGGTATACACCTATGTACTTTTCGTTAAATGAGGTATTAAATTAATGATCGTGATGGTCTTTACCCGAAAAATCAATCCCACCTTGTGGTAACCTGCTGAGAAAGGGTGGAGAGGGAGGTAATAAGAGGGCGGATGAGCAATTATTCTCATGGATAGCGATAAAAATAAGGTTTCAAATTGAATGAATTGGAGAGAAATTGATTGATGGTAATAATTGTACTTTCTGCAAAAAATTGGATTCATAATATGGCTAAAAGTAAAATTCCAAATAATTTTAAAAAAATGATTTACTCAGTTAAGTTTGTGTTGCTTTTGTACAGTCAGTTCTCTGCAAAAATACCTTATTTTCTTGTATAGGTACCTATACATCCACGATTTTCATTTATATCGAAAGCTGGAAGCAATTTGACATTTCAGTTTAAATCAGAATTGACTCTGATAACATAATAAAAAATTTTGTTTGTTCCGTCTCAATTCCGTGCGAGTGGAAACGAATGTAGTTGGAGCGAGAGTATACCTAGAATTGCTACTCTGGTCCGCAGAATGGAAATCCAGCTCCGGGAGAATAGTTCGACGTCAAAATATTATTCTATACAATTTTTTAGAGTGTAATTAAAATGAATAACAGCACTCAAACCTTCAACAATTACTGAATGTGCGCTCGCCTAAGGCCATTAAAATGTTTAATTTGATACCTTAGTTCTTAGTGTATAAACCGCCAGTAAATATTAAAAGGGCGCCACAAATAGAAGCCCCGCCACCCTTTGCTTGCACATTTTCTTGAGGCAGTATTAACTTTTCGGTCAGGGGACCTCAAGACCTTCAATTTAGTAGTACATAACTTTTTGGGTGTAGTTCGCCTACAATTTACTCAGTCTTGGTTCCCGTTTCATTTTCATATATAATGCGATAAATTAATCACAGTCATTGCACATAATTCGATCAGAGTACTAAAAACGCGTTCAACTCCCAGGCGCAGGTTATTAGTTAGTCGCAATTGAAATCAGCACTGCTGTTAAAACCGCCTAGGCGGAATGAAAAATAACAAACACTCGTAAGTATTTCCACATATACGTATATGTATACCGTCAATACACAAGGCATTGTAAATGGATATTAAACGAATGTATGAGAGTAATTCTATGTATATTGATTGTTAATGTATACAAATCATAGTACAATCTTATTGTTACCTATTAAAAAAATCTACATTTCAAATTAATTGTTCTGTGCTAACACNAATCAGTCTATAGAGATGGCATTAATAGACTGGAACATCGCTATGAGAAATGTATCAGCCTTGGAGGAGATTATGTTGAGAAATAAAAAAAAAAAATTTTTAAAAACCTTGTTTTTCTTGGTCAGGCCGGAAACTTATCAATCCACCCTCGTAATAGTGATACTAATTGTTATTCATTCGACAAAATAGGCTTATAAATGTTTGAAAGTTTTATTACCTGAGCCGCCACTCTGTGTGGTACGGATTTTAGGAGCGATGCCTTCGAAACGAAAGAAAAATAATTTAACAATAAGACAGAACCTTTTCTTAATCCGAATTTTCTATAAACTCCTTGATGCATTTAGGTTTGAGTTAGGAAAGTTTGACTGTACATTATAACAACCATTTCTCATGTATGTCTAAAATAGTTATTTATTTTAAGGAACTTCCGTTTATACTTTATACTCATCACCTATACAATGACGGCCTTGGTGCTAGCGCACCCATTGTCGTAACGTCCTGGATGAATTCACGATTAACAAGACCACAACAAAAGTTATTTCCTGCGAAATTTAAAAAGGGTTTCTCTGGGCACAGATTTATTATATCGTTAGCTAATCAACCCCCTTTTGCAATAAAAAGGTATCCTCATTATTTCTTTATCTAGTATGTCTAAATGCAATATTATAATAATTAATGTAGTAGTCAGTAGGTTTTGCAAAAAACGCCATGAATTAACAGAACAAAGACAATTGACTCAATCAAAACCAAAACTCATATAACATTTGCATGTTTAACTAAAAAAAAATGAGTATTTTTGGATTTCTGTTAGTTTTTCAGGCAAAGAAACAATAATAATAATAATCTAAATTAAAAATTATACGGAAACATGAGGGTTTCTGAAACTCCCATGTTTACTGTATTGCCTCCGATATAGTTAGTTCATTCTTACATTAATTACTTTACTAGAAAAAATCTAATGCGACAAAGATATAACAAACATTATTTTTGTACACTGCACAATATCCATTTTCAGCACTTTTCTTCTGTTTCTTTTGTTTTTCATAACTTTAGGTAAGTGATTACTGTTTTATTTTATAAAAGATCTTTTCAATTAAGTTTCAGAGTATTGCATTGCTAGTACAATAATTGTGCATGATCGTTTTTTAATAATTTTTAACCATAGACTGCTACCTACTAATTGGGCACAAAAGAAAATTTTAAAAAATCTTAAATTCTAAGCTTGTTTTTGAAAATAATTGTGTATAATTATATATTTTTTGAAAACACACAATAAGCCTAACAAATGTATAAAGTAATATACAGGGTGTTTCCATTTAAAAAACATATGCTTGCATCATAATTAAAAAACGAAGAATATGTTTTAACTTCTTCGATAAATTTATGCAGAACTGAGATGCAAGGGAGTGTCTCAAAAGTGATACTTTTCAATTCCATCATATATCTCAAATGCTGGTGCCATTATTAATTCCATAGCTATCGCTTTTTTTTGTTTTCGTGGAAAAGGGGAAATCTTCAAAAGACACCCAGCCAACTGTACGACTGGGTAGTGTGGGATTCCCGAGGAAGAAGTCCTCGAACCTACCGACTAAAACCCCTCTACCTCAGGCCGTTATAGGATCATTAAGGTCCTCTTCAGTCA